CGTGAGTTATCTCTCTCCTTCCCTCACTTATCTGGCACGTTAGAATTTGATGCTAGCACTCCCAAACCCCCAAAAACCCCCGCCGGGGGACGGGGGGGGGCTGGGGAATTCTGGGAGTTGAAGTCCACACATCTTCAAGTTGCCAGGGTTGAGAAACACTGGGTTAGAGAGACCAAGCCTGGTTCTCAGCACAGCACCAGTGGTCCAGCTCTGCTGCTTCAGATTTCCTTCCTTTTCCCCTACCCTTGTGGTTCTACTTTCACACAGGCTCCTGAGATGGCTTGCCCTGAAGGAGCTCACCCAGTGGAACTCAAGGGTGGGAACCTTTCCGAGGTCTGTGTGAAAGGAGCAAGGTCAGTCCATTAAAGGCAATTGGGGATGGAAGGTTCTGCCTGGAGTAAGCAGGGAGGAAAGTAAAGGGAGAGAGAGAAAAAAAACTCTCTGATTGATCATTAGGTGCTGTCAAAGTCTCAGCCGAGTGGAAAACGTGGAGGCTGGTGTGAGCAAGTAATCCATGAAAAATCACCTTTTCCTCTTCCTGTTCATGGCAGGGCAGCGTGTCCAGATCAAAGCCACTTGTCGCCGCTCAAGCTAAGTTGGGCAATTTATGAGGTGTTGGGACACTGTCCCATTAACGGGCCATGGAAATTCATTCTAGGGGTGCAGAAGGTGTCGGTTTTCCTCCAAGCTCTTTTTCTATCTTTGCTTAATTGCTCTTCCTGGCAATATATCTCTTTCATTCCACGGCCATTAATGGGCAGTGTCCCACCTCCCCATGGATAGAGTTCCAGGATTCCTTCCACAGGATGAGCGTTGTTGTCCAAGAGAGTCAGGGAAGAAGCAAACAAGGTGGAAGAAAATAGTTGTATAGTCCCACATCCGTTTCACATGATGGTCCACCAGAGGGCCCTGAGAAATGCACAAGGAGGACAGGAGTGATATATTCACCAACAGGTCTCCAAGTGGGACATCTTCACCATAACTTCTGATGGCCAATTCCATGAACAAATTATGAAAATGCCCCTTTCTGCTTCTCTGGCTTTTTCTATCAATGCCATTCTTTGACCCTGAGTTTGAGCTTTAGAAGGTCCAAGCTGGACAACATGTAAAGCAGATGAAAGGTCAGATGTTCTAATTATAATACAAAATAATTGGATGTTATTTTCAGCCAGGTTAAAAAAAGATGTCTAATTAATGTTTTAAACAAGGATATGTATGTGTGTGTGTGGGGGGGGTGAGTTTGCCTCCCCTCTGCTTCACTGTCAGATTACAGCAGGGGGCAGCATCTAGCCAACCTTGGCTGAGCTGGAAAAAGCTAAGCTGGGTTGGTCCTCATTAGTACTTACATGAGAGGCAACTAGGAATTCCTTGGGTTGTAGGTTACACTGGAAAGCTAAAGAGTGAGAGAATGGTCAATAGCAAACCAATTCCATATTATTGCTAACTCCTCCCCGCACCCAAAAAAACCCAACAACTATATGGAGGTGTCCACATAGTCACCAGAAATGAAGCTCAACTCAAGGAGGTTTTCATCTTGTCCCTTGACTGTGACACTTTGGAGCTGTGCCCAAGAATTTGGTCTTAGAACCACTATGGCGTGAACAGGTTTTTTGCTTCTGCTGCAACAACAGTTGCCCTCCCCACGCATGGAAAGCAATGGGTTTTCTTCCTTTCTCCTTCCATTTTAGTCAAATGTTTCCAAATTCACCTTTCCCTTTCCAATAGGATGGAAGGAACATGAAACCAAAACCAGTTGAATGGGCAAAGAAGCTGAAGATACAGATTTCCCTATCCAGTTAAAAATCTGAACCTCAGGAGACTCATCTCAGTAAGGTTTGTGGGATGCAATTAGGGTTATCATCCTCTTCTCTTCTCTTCTCTTCTCTTCTCTTCTCTTCTCTTCTCTTCTCTTCTCTTCTCTTCTCTTCTCTTTCATAGGTATCTGCTAGTCAAGTCCATATGACTTTTCTTCAGGACCGACTGCAGTTGTACCAGGCATTTGGTTCGATATCCTTTTGTTCTGTTTTTGTCTTAACACAATTTTCCAAACTTCACCCCCTTCTTCATCCATGGGAGGGGAAGACATTTAAATTACAACAATCTGAGAAAGTGAAATGTGCTAGAAGCGATCTCATTTCCTTGGCACAGAAAAAGAGTTTCCACATGCCTTCTTTAGTACGATGGAGGGCAGCCAAGGGCTATCATCCTCATCCTCCCCATCCTCATCTTCCTCATTTCTTCCTTCTAATTAATTTAATCCAAATTAAATTAAACACACACCAGCCCTATAGATGGTTTAAGAGAGCTTTCAAAACAAAGGGGAAAAAATTCTCCATCCACCCCCACCCCCAAAGGGAAAAAACTAGAAATTCTCCCGGAGGTTCTGGGAAAAGGCAGCCATGGAGGGAGAGACCCTACTGTGCTTTGAATATGTGATAGAATTACCAGATGAGTCCTTGGGAGGGGCGCTCAGTTGTGGGGGCAATTGTTGACTTTCAAAGCTGTTAAAAGCGTGTGAATAAAGCTGGGTCTAGTCACTTTGGCCTCTGCGCTCACTTGTCCGTGTTCGGATACTTCCGCTTTTCACCTGCAAGCTAATGATTTAATTTATTGGGGTTATGGGGTTGTGTGATATATATAGATATGCGCACACAGTTGAGAAAGTGCCCAAGGCGAGACCGAAGATTCACAGAAATATAATGAGCCTTTGAAATCCATCACAAATTAAGTGCAAAATCACACTTAAAAAAGAAACCACAAAAAAACCAACAACTTGTAACTTGTTCTAAGCAGATGGCAGCCGTACAAATGATCAACATTTGAGAGTGTTCCTTTTTTTTGTTTTTTCTCCAGGACTGAAAAGACTGCACATTTTTTTAATGGGAGAGCAATCCAGCGAGCCTCCGGTGGACCAGATAAGCGCAATGTTGTTGAACTCAAGTCCATGCTTGGTCCTTGGACTCGAGGGTTTTTTCTTGAATAAAGCAACAGGTGGGGCCAGAACAAAACTTCCTGTATACTTTCCATTTTTCTATCATCGAGCACACCATAACTGGCTGTTGACTTTTAGAAAGAAACAGGGGGGCTCACTTCGAGCTTGGAGAAGATCCAGAAGCTTGCCCAATTCTACTAGATGTTGATGATGAAGTCCAAATGCTTCTTCTTCTTAAGGAGCACCACAGCAGCATTGTTGAAACGTAAGACAAGGGTTTAAATAGGGTAGCTCCAAGAGTTATAGAAGTAAAAAAAAAAAGGGGGTGTTCAGGAAGGGGGGCAACCTTAAATCTAGGGACAGAAATTAACTCAACAAGGACCGGGCACCTTCGCTGGGTTTGGAGTGCTAAGTCAGAAGAAGGGAAGGAAAAATACAAAACCAAGGAGGAAGAATGGAAAGTTCTGGAAGTAGGTGGGGCAAGTGGTCCAGATCGGTGCGCCAGAGCACACCAAAACATTTTGTTGCAGTGCTCCTTTTAGAGCACCACCCATGTGCTGTCTAAAATACAAAAGGACCAGCTTCCTGTGTCCAAGAAATTGATAATATAAATTTATGACCAACGAAGGAAAGGAATGAAAATGAACTCTGCTTATGAAATGCTAATCAGGAAAGGGGTAAGTTAAGGACAAGATTATTCCTTTATTTTCTCCTTTCCTTCCTCCTTTGGTGAGCCTTTTTCTCTCTGATATCTTAGGGAATTTTTTTAAAAACCCTCATCTAGTATTCATTTACAATATAAGTTCGGGTGTTTCAGGTTCAGCCAAGGATTGTTTCTATTCACTGATTTTTTAAAAAAAGAAGGGAAGAAAGAAAGAAAGAAAGAAAGAAAGAAAGAAAGAAAGAAAGAAAGAAAGAAAGAAATA